CCCCAACCTCTGTCCTATCTACCTCGCATGTCCCTCCCCTGGCCTGAAGCATAGAGGGGAGATCTTGTCCTCCTAATTGGCAGGAAGTGAGGGACGTGTGTCCTCTGATGGGGAGGGGTGAAGAGCCGGGAATGACCTCTTTAAATGTATTTTTTACAGAAAGATAGATAGATAGAAAGATTGATAGAAAGAAAAAAGATAGAAAGAAAGAACGAAAGAAAGAAAGAAAGACATAGAGAAGGAAAGAAAGAAAGAAAGGAATAACATTTTATCGATCCCGCGGGGAAATGTTGGTTACAATGACAAATACACATACGTTAATACATGATTAAACATACGTACTTTTATAAAAAAAGAACCACACATTACATACATACATACATACATACATAAATACATACGTACGTGAATACTTAATTAGAATTTATACATACATACCTAAATAGACACATAAAATCAAACGTAAAAGCATAATTAATAATACATACATACCTACACACATACATAGGCACAAAAACACGTAGATATTAAATGCAAACATAGATATACCCACTATCCCCCCAATACAGAACACTTTCACAAACATGACATTGCGGGCAGCCACAGCGCCCTGTTTTTGGTTTGTTTCTTTCTTTAGCTGGGGTTGTCGTGTCTTGCTCAAGGGCACACCCCTGTGACCTCTCTTGTGACCTGCTATTTCCGGGGTGCCTTGATAGTTGAAGCAGACTTTGTGCTGTTGAGGCTAGAGAGGTGAGCAGAGTAAGACTTCTCGTTGACACCCACCCCTTGGCGCTCATATGACCTTATGCAGTTGCGAGCGCCGTAAAACCCTCTACTAAAAAAAAAATACATGAACACAAACATACACACACGCACACAAACTCACACACATCTAGGCTCTGCTCTGAACCGAGAAAATTCCACCATTGACCCCGACCTATAAGTCCTTACTACTACTACGATCTCTGACGTCTCAGACCGTCTACACTTACACCCTACACGTTCTCACACTACACCCTTACCTACCCTCACGTCGGAACCTCTCCTAGGAGGTTATAAATAGACATGTCCTTGAACCAAAGATCGTGTAACCCCACCCACATTTCTATCCAGGCACCGCCCCTCCTTGCCCGGCCATAATGTCCCCTTGAGGATCTCACTAGGCCCTGGTGGTATAAGAACGTATAGGCTAGGGCTAGGCTAGGGCCTATTGCCCAGTCGGGAAAATTGGCGACTTGGAGAAGAGAGAAAGTCTCGAGCCTATGATAACAGCCTTTGGAACGTTTCTCCTTGATAATGAGATGTGATTACCTGGCCTTTGTGGGGACCCGTTATCTCCCCTTGTTTGATCCAAGGTGACGTCACACGCGAGGCTCGCGCTCTTCCCCGCAGAAGTGGGAGAACGACAGGTGGTAGTTAAGCCTTCCTTAACATCTTAGAAAGATCATAATATTATTAATATCATGGTCCAAATATGGAACTCATTGTTTTTCGTGTATATTATA